AAGCAAGCACCATCACTAATTATTGATATTGAATAAAATATTTGAAATGTAAACTATAATCCAATGCCTATCTAAAATTTAGTATTTAAACTAACAAAATAAATAAAATTGCATAAGTATCTATATTTTGTCTCATCCTGCAAAGAAATGAAAAATAAAACTAAACTCAACCTCTGAAAGTTTTTTGACCTTTAAGTAATAGGTGTCATCGGGCTTAACCTTTTAGCTACCAAGCGACCAAATTCGGTCGCGGCGATATTCCGTCAAATACCACAGCAATTTAACCCATAAATACTTATGGTAAGAGATTACTTTTCCATGAAGAAGTTTGGCATTATAGGCTTTTTAGCATTTTCAATATGAAATTTTCTATCCTCTAGTGCAATAAAAAGTCTACGTTCATTACTGTTGTATTTACATTATTGTTGTGTTTATTTTTGTATTTTTGTAGTGTTTTACTAGTGTGTTTTTATTACAAGATTGGTGTGAAAGTTTTTGTGTGAATATAATTTATCTTTTTTACGTAAATAATTTTTGAGTAATATATAGAAATAATAGTGATTTTCATGCTGCCGACATCCGCTTGGTATGTACCCGTTTTTTGTTATTAAAATACAATAAACTCTTTTTGTAATGAAGTAAAACCTGACTTTTGTTTAGAACACAGAATAGAGAATTTTGTATATATTTTATAATGCCAAACTTCTTCATTGAAAAAAATAGTCTACAAATTTAAGTTTTAATGGTTTAAAGTGCTGTGCGGTGCGGTCGAATGCGACCGCTCGGGATTAGACGGACGCTTGCGACTGCATGGCATTTTATGGTGATTGGAGGGTTAAATCAGTGGGGCTTTCTATCAAAACATTCTCAGTAGCAGCCCGGAGTCAAGAGTTCAGCAGTGTTTCATCTCTATGCCTCATAAAGCACGTAAAGCCGTTTTATCTGTATCTGATCTTACCATATTTTTGTCGGATTACTAAATCGGACATAATGATAAATGTACAATTTTTAAAACTTTGTATATAATGATTAATAGGGGCTGATTTTTGTAAAGTTCTGCAATAAGTATTATTCATAATTATCATAATTTTGTTTTACGGATTTCCCCACCACCATGCAATTAAAAACCATTTCATCCGCGCAAACCATGTATCCTGGTTTTAACATTTTAATATGAGATATTAGGAAAATGAAAAAAAAAACTAATTGCATTATTTTAATCCTAAAGTATTTGTACTAATTGTAAAGTTACAATAAGCATTTAATAATTTTTCCCTATACCAATATGAAATCACCCCGTAAAAACATTCTTAAAACCTTTTTTACTATCTATTTTTCAAGTCTTTTTATAAAAATTATAATAAAATGCATATAAATTAATAATATGCACTTTATTACTTATTGAAAATTATGAACTAAAGAACAAATGCGTCAGGACGGCACTGTGGACCTTTCCCCGCTCCAAGAAGTATGAGAATGCCTAACAATGATATCCCATTGAATAAACCTAAATTTACGGATTTTATCGCGTTTAATCAACTACTTTTACTTATTTTTCATTCCCGACGTTTCGGGTGCTTTAAAACACCCATGGTTACGGGGAACTGAGATGTTTGACGCCCCAATGCCATAGTTAGCCCGGCTACTTTCAGTTTTTAATATTAATTGTTCGGTTCGATCTACGCAAAACGAGCTTACAGTATCTTGAAGCCTTGCAGTGGCATGCTTGGGTTTAAGTTTAATTTTGTTAATTATAGGATCCCAAGCAGATGGCAGTGCCCATCCATCTTCTCTATTGAAATTAGGACGTTTTTTAATTTCAATAGCCTCGCCTATCATCCTTGGTAGGAATCGGTGTTCTTTTGCGAGGATTTGTGGTTTATCAAATCTGATGTAATGGTGGGGACGATCTTGAACAAGTTAACAGACTGCAGACTTCCCGGAGCGTCGGTGTTTCACGTCAGCTATATGTTCTTTCACGCGGGTGGGAGTGTACAAGTTAGATTGTGAATGTGGTCTCTCTTACATAGGTCAAACAAAAACTCATACTAATTATCATTTAGTGACATTATGTACATATTTATAATTTAAAAACGTTTATTGAACAAGAGCATTTTTTATTACTACAAGAAAAAACACGTTTACAAGTGGTGCACTGCCACATACTTTCGTGACATTGTCTTTTTATTATAGATGTTTTCAGTTTTAGATTGTTAAATTGAATTATGAAATGTAATTCGCATTCGGATAGACAATTTTATCAGCAACAAAAATGAGGAGAACATAAGTATGGCCCTCATTTGAATTCAATTTTTCTTAGTAACTCGTATAGCTATAAGAATAATTCACCATGATAGATATTATATTTTTCGAAAACGGCACCTTCATTTAGTTAAATAAGTACTATATAACACGATCGCGCCAACCGCATATATGGTCTTTCAGACTCAGTGAACTGCGACAGCACAATGACGGCCTGCAAGGTCTTTAAGCTGTGATAGGACTTGAAGTTACTCGAGATCGTCAGTAAGCTGTACTTGCCACGAAAGCATCGTAGGCGTAGCTTTTTAAGCGCGCTCATTATGCTTAATCGCGAAGCGTGCAGCCACCGTAATTACTTCCTGATGATATCGGATGATCTATTTTATAAGGACGTTACTTCTTGTGATAGAGGGCTTACCTTCCTATCCTTATTTAACGAACAATGGCAAGACCCGGCAGTACGAGTATTTTGACCGGGAGACTGTATAGAATGAAAAGGAGGTCCACGGGAGGTTCTACATATGAACCTTTCGGCGTTTTCTTACTCTGAGTGTTTGCACCGACAGACAATCTATTAGCCACGATTCTACCCCAGAAGCTCGCTCAGAAATACGGTCTCGTGGATAGGAAAATGCTTTATTACAAGTACTTGCAGAAAGCTGTGCTTATAAATGAACGCCAGGCTTTACTGGGACTGGGCCATCATCACAGACAGGACTATTGACTTGACTTGGACTCAAAGTAAGCCTGATATTGTGCTGGTGGACCGGGCACAGTCAAGGATATTTTTGGTCGACCTTTTTTGTGCAGCTTGTGAAAGCCGAATCAGATAAGAAAATTAAGTATCTTTACCTGGCTCACGAGGTGACCGACATATGGACTGGTCTGCCGACCGAAAGTATTTCAGTAGTCGTCTCTGCGAACGGTCTAATCCCGGTCAGCCTCTCGGGTCATCTGAGGCCACTAGGACTCCGTGACGGACCGCTCCGGACTCAAATGCAGAAGGCGATGCTCCTCGATACCGCCCCCATCGTCCTTTCCCTGGTTTATTTACCTTTCCCGCAAATCCGTTTCGTCTCCCCTGTCGAGGGCTTCTCTCTGGTTGATCTTTTATTTATGAATTATTTATTTATATATTTATTCACCTCAAGCAGATGACAATACTCTATAAATAGCCCTCTATATAATAATCCCACTTCAGTTTTATTTATATGTGTATGTATGTATATTTTGTTACACGTACAGATAAACCTATAGTGCAAAGGTATTATATTACATTGATAAAGAGTATTTAGAAGAAAAGGAACCCATCGTACCGTGTAACAGATTATGATGGCGGCGTGTTGGCGCAGTATCACATATTGTGGACTTTGTTAAAGGTCACAGATGCTTTCTCACCTATGCTGCCCCATAACATCCCGTGGGTGTCCTCAGAGACAACAGAGGAAAACTGTACCAAGAGATGGCCATCAGCATCTTCCTGATAGCAATAATACAAATTGCGTTTGCCAACCCTTTTGCTAAGTGTGGCAACTATGGCAAATATATCCCTATATGAAGCAATCTATAGAGGAGTTCTGTGTTCAGAAAAACGCAAAAACTCTACGATAACACCCTTAATCTCATGGATGTTAGACGGCAGATGAGGCTGCAATCGTCAGCAGATTTGACAGCATAAAGGCAACTGAACAGACAGATCTCCAAATGCATGCGGTGAGACTTACGCAACTTTAATACTGCTCGTATTGAAGATCGAGCGGAACCAGGGCTCCAAAATCTTTGCCAGAGATCTGTCTGCCAGAAAAAGCCAACCGTCAAAGCTGAAGACTGAGTGTGGCAGCATCGTTTCCGGGACACCTGAGATTTTGAGTGAGATTGAGAGGTTGTTGGGAGTACTATGCTCGAATTTGATGACGAGTACGTTAACCTAGGACACATAGTCCGACTAGGTAAGTCAAACTTCGACAGAGAGGTCAATCGGCGGATTCAACTCGGCTGGGCAGCGTTCGGGAAATTACGACACATCTTCTCGTCAGGTATACCTCAATCTCTGAAAAATAAGAATGTACAACCAGTGCGTGTTGCCAGTGATGACTTACGGATCTGAGACGTGATCCTTCACTGCTGGCCGTATGAGGACGCTCAAGGTCGCTCAGCGAGCTATGAAGAGGGCTATGCTCGGAGTTTGTCTGCGTGATAGACTCAGAAATGAGGATATCCGTAGTAAAACCATAGTGACCGACATAGCCCAACGGATTAGCAAGCTGAAGTGGCAATGGGCCGGCCATGTAGCTCGAAGAACCGATAACCGATGGGGAAGAAAGGTTCTCGAGTGGCAGCCTCGTACCGGTAGGCGTAGTGTAGGGCGACCCCTCACTAGATGGAGTGACGACCCGGTAAGATATGCAGGAAGTCAGTCGATGGATACAGGTGACTCAGGACCGTGCTTTGTGGCATTACTTGAGGGAGGCCTTTGTTCAGCAGTGGTCTTGTGAAGGGCTGTAATGATGAATGGCAATGGTAAAGTCGTTACCGGTTGATGGCTGAGTAAGATTATTGGGTGAAAATGACGCAGACGAACTTCTAGACAGAAAAGCAGTTTAACCACTAGGATGAAATAAAATGCAATTATATTTTAGGTAATTATAATGTCTTCGAAAATATATTTATTTTATATTACAGATACAGATTGCACAAATTTGAGTTGACATCAATTATTTCAATATTAATAAAATCTTTTAATATCCTCCCCCGAGACCTCCATGACCTAATCCACTACTTCTGTAACCTCCTTCTCCGAAGTCTACTTGTACAGATCCCAATCCACCACCGAGACTAGATTGTCGGCCACCAAAACCGCTGCCGCCGCTGTATCCAAGGCCATGGTGGTCGGAACCTAATCTCCCTCTATTGCCGAAACCGCCGCTGCCTTGGACAATTCCTGAGCCACGAATTCCATCGCTCAAATCTGAAATTATTGTTTGAAATTATGATATTATCCGTCATCGACTACGATTACTTCCAGGCTTTGCACGGCTGTGATCCATTCACTAGTGTGTAGTTATAAAATTTCTTTGAGAAACCTTTAGTTAATAGTGATGCAACATTATGATTCATTACGTAATTAAATTTTTCTTAACCTGTTTGCTGTTTTTTCTGAGCTAGCGGGTTAATAATTCTATTCCATGTTTAATTTTTCAAATATACGAGTATCCAGAACAAGTAAGAATAATATGCAGCAAAAACACTATTGAGCACGTGCTAAACATTTGCATACGGTTATGTATGCAGACGACATGTGCCTAATGTACTTAACCAATAACACGAGTGATGGACGAAAATGCATACAGGAGGACTTAGAAAACATAATTAAATGGGCGAATGATAACGCTATAATTATAAATTTATTCAAAATAAAAGCTATGTATATAAGTTCACCCCACAGTAACGTTTTTAAGCAAGGTAAATTAAACATAAATATAATTGGTCATACATACGAGTGTCTACACCTCAATAAAGCTGGCTGTCAGTGCACAAACATAGACGTAGTAGATAAACTTACTAACTACTTAGGCCTAACAGTAGATAGTAATATGAACAGAAAACTGCACGTCAGTAGTGTGTGTAATAAATTGCAATCAATATTGGGTAGATTCTTTCACCTAAGCAATTTCATGAATCGAAAAGTCTTGTACCTACTGTAATAAGCACTGGCTCTGTTTGGTATGGATTGAGCAGTTATGGGCTAACATTCAAAACACAGTTAGATCGTATAAAATATTTACAGATTAGACTATTTAAGTATTTAGTAGTAAGTAAAAAAGCAAAATTACAGTGTAAAACAAGTTATGACAAATTATTTAATATATGTAAAATACTTCCAGTGCATGAAAAGGTAGATTACCTAATTGCTTTAGAACAATATAAAATAAATAAATTTAAACAACCTATAACGCATAAATATCGTACCAGGCAAGTTGAGAAGGGTAAATATGTGATACTACATATAAGAAACTATTATGGTAAGAGAACTAGGCAATATTTAACTCCGCTAATATTTAATAGAATAGATTTTATAAGAGATACGTCCAAAGACATAAGCACTGTAAAATTAAAGAAAAGACTGAAAAATACATTGCTATGAAAAGTATAATGTACTACCTACAATAAGTATTAATTAAAGATAGAGATATTTATTGTAATAAATATACCTAAGATAAGTATGTATGTAACAAAAAATACATCGTATCAATCATCAATCAATAATAAACAAAAAAAAACGCAACTGTTGCACAGTTTGGCGATGTTTATTATTATTTTAAATGCGTGTATTTTATATTAATAAAAAAAGTAGGACCATACTGTATGCAGTATACAGTAAAGTGCTTGAATAAATTCAAAGTTCAATAATGTTCAAAACGTGTAGTCGCGCTGTTATCATCTCGTCTCGTAGGAGGCGACTAATGAAAATGAAACAGTACAGCAGCATGTTTCTGATGTCAACTAAAAATTATAAAAACTGTGGTTGCCAATCTGTCTGCCAAACGTGGCAACTATGGCAAAAATTTGTATATTAGTAAATATGACCCAATATACATCGACCCAATATAGATATAGATCGGGGGTCCAAATGCTTAGCCACTTGTCCACGGCGCTACCAATCTGTTTCGTCACGAGATTTTTCTTTAACATCGAGTATGTGACAAATCGGGTATGTGAAAAAAATTGATTAGTAAATAAGTTTTCATATACCAAAATTGGTGAAATATGTGATACATTATTATTTTATAAGAACATCCTTGTACCATATTTCTTGTGAATAAATTTATTTATTATTTATTTATAATCAGACTTAAAACTAACGCCTCTATTGTCTAGTGTAACACGGCCAATTATATTTAATCTAATCGGTTAGTTATTATTAGTTTATTTGGTAGTAAATAGATGGCGCTAATTTTAGATTAAAACTATGAAAGCCAAATAGAAGAAAGATTGAGAGAGATAGAAGTAGAATTGATCATATTATCATGAAGTGCTAGACCACTTCAAATATCGCAATCATTTCATGATAGCCTATTATTACTGACCATCTCTCCATAGTATAAAACAAAGTCGTTTCCCACCGTCTGTACTCTGTACGCTTAGAACTACGCAACGAATTTTGATGAGATTTTCATCAATAGACAGAATGATTCATGAGGACGATTTATACATGTGTATAACACTTTCATATTATAGTAATCTATAAATATAAAAATCAATTGCTGTCTGATAGTCTCGCTAAAACTCACCGATTTACAACTAATAGCGTATACATTGCCCCAAGAATGAATTCTGAATTGACTCTGTGGAGTCGAGAAACTGGCAACACTAGCTTGTCTTTGTTCTTGGTGTTTAGAAAGTGTATATCTCTTTTTTACTTAAACTACCTTCGTTTTTATGAACATACTTTAAATTTTCGTAAATGTACTGAGAGGTCAAAGTTAATATATTTATTTATTTAAATTTTTGTAGTAAAATTTCTTTACGCACGCTTGACTTGGGGAGCAAGCTGGCGAATGCGTGACGATAGCGTTACGAAAAGTGTAATCGTGCATGGCGAACGAGAGTTGAGTGGAGGATATACGCAACAGAGAGAGAGAGAGAGAGAGAGAGAGAGAGAGCAGAACGCGCGCACATTTACTTTCTCTCTTTCTCTCATAGCCAGTTATTTTTCGTAATTTTATTTCAATTTGAACAATATTTTATGAATTAATATTTTTTTCAATATTCTACGTTTAAAGTGAATAAAATTGTAAATTAATTTTAAAGTTCATGTTTTGTGTATTAATTATGCATATATGCATATATATATATATATATATATATATATATATATATATATATATATATATATATATATATATATACAGATGGAGCTAAAGAAGTTTTACTTCAGTCGTGTGGTCATAAGTACACTTGTTTTTTCTAAGAGACTCTCGGTTTTAGGTTGTAAATAGCTCTTCTAAAAAACAAAAATAGTTTCTAAATCAGCTGTATAACTCTATAGCAAAATCACATATGACATTATGCTATGGAAATAACTGAAACGTAAAGATATTGTGAGCCTCTCTGTTGAGCAAATTTAAGAGATGTCATGTATTGAGTTATAGGACCTCATTGTTGTGAGCGTCAACAGAACTCCATGTTAATATTCTTTAAAAAAATAAAGAGAGGAAATTCTTGTAAAGGATAATAAACAATGAATCTGTTGTAATATGTGGCGACTTTAATACCAGTCTCCTAGATGCTTACTCCACCAATATTAAATTAAGGTCATTTATCAATAAACCACACATTCTTTTTAATTTATTGTTAGATCCAACGCGCATTACTGAATTTTTTGCAACATGTTGTACAGACAACGTATTTACAAATGTCAAGCCGTTTCATAAATGTATAATTCTAAAAGTGAGTCGACCCGCCATTATCTTTGCCTGGATAGGATCTATTAATATGAGTTTATTAAAAATTCATTTATATATATAAAGTTTTCATCATTCACGTCTGAATTTCATATAAATTACCACCCAAGCTTAATTTAAGGCAGTTACGAGGGGACATTTTAAAGTTCTCGGAATGTAGGGTAAGGAGTGGAAATAAAAAGCCAAGTTTATTTTTCCTTTTCAATATATTCACCTGCTACCCTAATACATTTATCGGATCTTTCAATTAGATTATGTACACCCTCAAAAAATTTATTTGTCTTGAAACTGATTCCTTCACTTCTTCATTGCTTAAAAACATTTTCCCACGAATTTCTTTTTTTAAGTTTGGAAATAGATAATAATCACTGCGGGCCAGGTCAGGACTATAGGGTGGGTGTGGCTAAATTTTAAAGCCCACCTTCTGTGGTGTGCCTTTTGTGCCGCTGCTAAGAGTCCTGTTTGGACTCAAGTTCATAATGGTGAACCCTAGTTTCGTCACCAGTAACCAGTAGAAGGGGGTTATTTTCATTTATGTATTATTTTATATTGTAATAACTAAATAACCCTTTTTGTACAATTTCTCTTTAATAAAACATTTAAACTTGTTTAATGACAAATTTTGTACATTTTATGGGATTTTGTTGCAAAAGGGTATACATTCCCTCATAAATGAATTACAGTATTACATATTGTGGACTATGTAAAAGGTCACAGATGCTTTCTCACCCATGCACTACCCCAGCGCTCCCTTTATCTACAATGCGTTTGCCAACCCTTTTGCTAAGCGTGGCAGCTATGGCAAATATACCCCTATATGAGGTAATCTATAGAGGAGGTCTATGTCCAGCCGTGGACTTTTGATAGGCCTCTCAAATACCAAGTGGTAATGGTAAAGTCGGAACAAAAACTGTCCATTGCTGGTTGGTGGCAGAGATAGGTGAGAGGGCGATACTGGGGCAGACGAACTCCTACACAGAAAAGCAGTTCGACCACTAGAACGAAATAAAATGCAATTATATTTTAAGTAATTATAATGTCTTCAGAAATACATTTATTTTATATTACAGATACAGATTGCACAAAGAGATGATATCAAATAGTGCCAATATTTATAAAATCTTTTAATATCCTCCACCGAGACCTCCATGACCCAATCCACCACTTCTGTAACCTCCTCCTAGTCCTCCTTGGCCGATACCTCGGCCGCCTTGTCCTCCGAAGCCTCCTTGTATAGATCCCAATCCACCGCCGAGACCAGATTGTCGGCCACCTAAACCGCTGCCGCCGCTGTATCCAAGGCCATGGTGGCCGGAACCTAATCCACCTCCAATGCCGAGACCGCTGCTGCCTTGGCCGATTCCTGAGCGACGAATTCCACCACTCAAGTCTGAAATTATTGTTTTAAATTATAATATTATCCATCATCGACTACGATTAGTTCCAGGCTTTGCACGGGTGTGATCAACTAGTGTGTTGTTATAAAATTTCTATGAAAAACCTTTAGTTAATAGTAATGCCATATCATGATCCATTACGTATTTAAATTTATAGTATTTAAATTTTTTCTTAATAACTCAATTCCATGTATAATTTTTTTAATAAAATAACAAATAGAATTAAATATACGAGTATCTAGTATAAGTAAGAATAATATGCAGCAAAAACACTATTTAGCACGTGCTAAAACATTTTCAGTAGGACCAATGTTGTATGCAGTATACAGCAAAGTACTTGAATAAATTCGAAGTTCAATAATGTTATCATCTCGTATCGTAGGAGGCGACTCAACTAAAAAATCTACTGCAAACTGCAAGAAGACAGCAAACTGCGGTTGCCAATCTGTCTGCCAAGCGTGGCAACTATAAATATGACCCAATGTACATCGAAATTGGGGGTGGTCTATGTTTGACTTCTGAGAGGCTTTAGTGTAGGAATGAAAAATGAATCAAATATTCCAGTCACAGTAAATTCATTTTAAATTCTTTATAAGTTGTTTTACAAACAAATATTAACTAATTTTAAGTAAACTGAAATTACTGCGTATAATTGTTTCATTACTAGGCAAGAATTCTAACCCGTGACCCGCAGCGCCGTAGCCAAATGCTTAGCCACTTAGCTACGGCGCTCTCAAGCTGTTTCTTCACGAGATTTTTCGAGTATTTATTTCGAGTACGTGACAAATCAGACTTAATATTGCGATTATGAATGTCAGTGTAACCACGTGTCTGACCGTTAAATACTACCCACGAAAGGACTGAAAAAAACTTTTATGTTTGGACTTAGGTATATAAAATATGCATTTTATTTTATCAAAAAGATTCAATCCACGTATTTTAACTTACCAGGCTCTGCAGCTGCTACTGCTATCAACGCCAGAGCAACGATCTGAAAATATGAAGTCTATTGAAAATCTTTTTAATTGGTATAAGTTTAAAAACACAGTTACTTTCATGCTAAATTTTCATATTTTGTTTGAAATGTCAATATTAATTAATTTATTATAAAAATAATTATTTACTATGTACTTACCAAGAACTTAGTCATTTTGGTATAAGAAGATATATTACAATTTTAGAATATGTTGAACTATGAACGAGCTACGTTTGCGAATAATACAAAATGTAAAATCTCACGACTTATATAGTAAAGCTCACTAGGAACTGGCGATCTCTCCTTAACCTCGTACGTATCTCTCTTTCTTGTTGAAAAAATACAGGTGTTGCCGCCGTTCTCTAAGTCAGCCAACCGTTTTATTTTAATTTTACTAATTGTTTCTTTGTTTTAGTTTTAAGGTCTTTATTTACCTAATTGATTTATTTTACGAAAGTCTGTTATAGATAACAGCATGATAACAGCAGTGTAGCATCATAATTCTACTGTGTTTCGTAATGTCAGTGCAGAGTATCGAAGACCATTCTTATAATGATTTCTTAAATTTACGCGAACACTACACATTGAATAAAACTAAATTTACGGATTTTATCGCGTTTATTTCACTACTTTTACTTATTTTTAATTCCCGACGTTTCGGGTGCTTTACAGCAACCATGGTCACGCGGGGGACTGAGATGTTTGACGTCCCAATGTCATAGTTAGTCCGGCTACCTTCAGTTCTTGAATATTAATTTTTGGTCCGATTTACGCAAAACGAGCTTATAGGGTGCGTTTGGCAGAAAAAAGCGCTAGCAAGCGCTTGTAAGCAAAATGGCGATCGTAAGCGGTAAGCGCTATCAAATCGTAAGTAGCTATTTTCCTCTAGGACACGATGTTAGTTTTAACCGGGGAACCTAACCTAATTTAAATATATGTTTGTGATGTATTCGTATTGAAAACTTACCAATCATGAATTTTTAATAACATGTATATGTTTATTCATGTCATTGTATTACTTAAAACTAATATTGCAAAAAACAACTTATAAACTCTACTTCAAAACAAACAAATTAAATAAGCAAAATGGCGGATTGTGTCAGCGCTACTGAAGTAGCAATCGTGTCCTGGCCGAAAACTATTTTAGCGCTAGTAAGCGCTTGCTAGCGCTTTTTTCTGCCAAACGCACCCATAGTATCATGAAGTCTTGCAGTGGTATGCTTAGGTTTGGGTTTAATTTTGTTAATTATAGGATCCCAAGCAGGTGGCAGCACCCATCCATCTTCTCAGAGGCAAATAATTCTTTAGCTTTCTTAGATGTTTTAGTCATTCGAAATCCTAATAACACAATTGGTCACACTGTGTATAGAAAAAAGACCCATACCAACCGATATTTAAATGGTGAATCTCACCATCATCCTTCACAGTTAGCTACCGTGGGTAAATCTTTGTTTCAGAGAGCACGAGGGATCTGTGACAGAAAACATCTAGCCGCCGAACTTCAGCACGTCAAGCAAGTATTGCAAGACAACAAGCTTCGGGTCCCGCGCCTACGTCACAGTGACCGAGTGAAGCCGGCCACAGTCGAGCGTGTACCTGCTGTACTACCATATGTCAGAGGAGTCACAGACAAGGTTGGCTACATCTTGAAGCGAGCTTCTATTAAAACATACTACAAGCAGCCGAAGAAGATTAGTCAATTTTTACCATCCGTCAAGTGTAATATCCCTCTACAAGATGCAGGAGTGTACAAGTTAGATTGTGAATGTGGTCTCTCTTACATAGGTCAAACAAAAAGATCCATAAAAACCCGCGTGAAAGAACATATAGCTGACGTGAAGCACCGACGCTCCGGGAAGTCTGCAGTCTGCGATCATGTTCAAGATCGTCCCCACCATTACATTCGTTTTGATAAACCACAAATTCTCGCAAAAGAACACCGATTCCTACCAAGAATGATACGCGAGGCTATTGAAATTAAAAAAACATCCAAATTTCAATTGAGAAGATGGATGGGTGCTGCCACCTGCTTGGGATTCTATAATTAACAAAATTAAACCCAAACCTAAGCATACCACTGCAAGACTTCATGATACTATAAGCTCGTTTTGCGTAAATCGGACCAAAAATTAATATTCAAAAACTGAAGATAGCCGGACTAACTATGACATTGGGACGTCAAACATCTCAGTCCCCCCCGTGACCATGGTTGCTGTAAAGCACCCGAAACGTCGGGAATTAAAAATAAGTAAAAGTAGTGAAATAAACGCGATAAAATCCGTAAAGTTAGTTTTATTCGAAGACCATTTTTACTGGTAACGAGACAACTATCTTGATCCTCAAGGGTGACAACGCATCTGCCTTTTGATTCTTAGTCGATGATTAATGCATATGTCTATGGGCCACAGTATTCACTAAAATCAGGCACTGTGTATTCGTTTATCACCCTTACTTCTCTAAAAAGTTTGATTGAAAGATAGATAGTGTTGGGACTTCAAATAAAAAAGAAGAAAAAAACGAGCCTTTCATATTTATTTTCTTTTGATGTCAGATTGATTCATCAATATAAACATAAATCAACCTTTGCAATACATCGAATTCATAGCATATATCATATTAAACATCGATGTTTATGTTACATGAAAATAACATTTTTATTAAAAAAACCTTAACACATCACTCTAGGAATTTTTTTATAGAAGAGGGGGCAAACGAGTATACGGTTCACCGGATATTAAGTAACTACCGCAGCCCAATAACAACCGCAACACCAGGGGAATTGTAGGTGCGCTGCTGGCCTTTTAGAAAAGAGTAAGCTCTTTTCTTGAAGGTCTCCAGGTTGTATTGGTCCGGAAAAATAGCCGGTGGTGATCTATTCCACAGAAAGGTCGTACGCAAAAGAAAACTCCTAGTGAAACGTACGGTGGTGGACCGCCAAGCATCCAGATGGTGTGGATGGTATCGGTACGTTTGCCGCGTAGTGCGTTCAGGAAATTTGGCGGCTGGGATTAATCCGAATTTTCTAAATTCCTAAGAGCACTCCCGATGGTATATGTGAAATGGTAATGCAACATCTCTTCGCAGCGCCAGTGTTTCGAGCCGATCGGATAGCTGTCGGTCGTCGATGATTTGAGCCGCTCTGCGCTGGATGCGGTCAAGTGGAAGGAGCCCGTACTTTTTAGCTCCAGCCAAGAGATGAGAACAGTATTCTATGTGCGGCCGAACCTGTGAAATACTGTCCCAATCTGCTTTTTAGACACCAATTTGGCCTTCTCTTTCAAGTGACCACGAAACTGCACGTCACTCGATATGTCGACGCCGAGGATTCCGATACTGGCTGAGGCGACAAAAGGAGTGCCTTTAAACTGCGAAGATACGACAAAAGGGTTATTTTTACAACATATCAATGATATGCAGAAGAAACAGCGTTGGTGATAGTACGCAGCCTTGTGGAACACAAGCATTAATAGGCTTGTATTCTGAGCTTGCGCCGCCTACAATGACCTTCATGCTCCGATCTGCAAGAAAACTGGTGATCCAATTGCACAATTTCTCGGTAAACCCATAGGAAGGCAGCTTGGAAAGAAGCGCTTTGTGCCAAACCCGATCGAAGGCTTTTTTTCGGAATTTACTGCCGCTGTCCATAGCATAGCACCTAGGCCTGTATCCGTTATTGCGGTCGCAAACTGTAGCTGCTGCAACCTCCGGGACGCGATGGGAACGATGATGCTGCCGCACGGCTTCAACCTCAAGTGCATAGGCCAAGCCATCCTTAAGTGTAACGTGGTGCCCGAGCCTGACAGCAGCTCTGACTTCAAGGTCGCGGTTGCCGTCGATAAATGTCTGCACCAGGTTCCCTTCAATGAGCGCAGGTAAAGACCGGTATGCTTTTCGCACCAGCTTCTCCACTTCTAGAGCCCACTGCTGCAGGTTTTCATTGATGCGCTGCACGCGATCTTTAAGCTGCGCACGAAAGACATGTTCCAGGTGAGCGTCACCATATCTCGCCTCCAATGCCTCAAGGAGCCGCTCGTAAGTCACTTTCTTACCGAGAGCTTCCAACAAAGTTAAGGCTTGGTCGCGCTAGCCTAGGGTGAGTGGAGTTATGGCCTGGCTTTTATTCTAGCCTTTCGCCTCCATGACAGCCTCAAACTGGATTTTGTAGGCTGACCAGGAAGAAGTCCCGTCGAACAGCGGCTCTTTGAACCCACGTAGCGAAGGTGCTGTAGCTACTACGGGAGTTGTAATTCCATCCCCCAGTTTGAGGTCATCCAGCGTTTTCTTCACGTCAGCCATCACGTTGTAAACCCGATTGTTCACTAGGTCAATTCTGGTTTCAGCTTTCTCGATTCGGGTTTCAGCTTTCGCGATTTGGGTTTCAGCTTCCGACAGGCGGTTGTCATGCAGAGCAACCCTATCCTTCACCTCCTTTGTCTCTTCCCTGAAGGTAGCGTGAAGGTCCTTCATGAGGAACATTTGCTCCTCCAACTGACGGGCCTATTCCTCTTGTCCACCCCGCAGCTGCTCTTCCAAACGATGGACCTGTTCCTCTTGTCAGCGGGCCCGTTCCTCCTGTCGGCGAGCCTGCTCCTGCAGCATCACCATCGGAGCACCTAAGTCAGGTGCTGCAGGTGTAGGAGCTGCTGATGGGCCAGCTCCGTGGCTGGCAGTTGGCCCTCTGACGTCTGCGGCGTTACACCACGAAATCGTCTCTGATCCGTCTCCTGTTGGCGTTGACTTCGGATACGGACACCCTCCATTTCGTCCTTGGGTAAAATCGGCATGGTTACATCCCACTTCTGACAGTATTATACTATATTAATAAATAATATTCAGACGAAAATAGTCCCGTTGTACCGTGTTACAGATTATTACGGAATGCGTTTTACATATTGTGGACTTTGTGAAAGGTCACAGATGCTTTCTCACCTCGGAGGACCAAGATGGAATGTCTATATAATTGTCTGACACACTGTCTATTCATTATACACAAATTAAGATCAGAACCGTTAAACAGTTCAGTGGCTATATAAAAATACCCAAACGTCCCGTAGGAGTCCTCAGATGCGACAGAGGGAAACTGAAGCAAGATATGGGCAGCAGCATCTTTCTGATAGCGAAAATAATAAATTGCAATTGCCAACCATTTTACCAAGGGTGGTAATTATGGCAAA